GTCAGTAAACACAGTGTTACAGATCAGCTCTTACCTCTACAAAAACCCCTCTGAGAACCCTCACAACCCTAATAAAGTGCTATAGAACAGATCACTTCCCACACCTGCATGCCAGCACTTGTGACTGTGTTGCTTATTGTCACATGGTGGAGAGATCAAAGTTGTGGTGTAATGCTGATAATAATGAATCTTAAGAGGTACATACATGTACTGTAAATGTGTTCCTAAATATGTTTTCATATTTTAATTCCTTTTAACAGATCAGTTGACACATTACACGATCACTTTAGTATAAGTTAAGATATAACTTTATTGTCCATCCAAAAGAGTAAAATTTTGTCTTTGGCATTACCATACAAAACTACAAAAAACAAAATAACACAGAAATGGTAAAAACACATAAAAAAATAAACAACAGTCTTAGATATGCAACAATCGATATACACATGTTTCTGTACACTACAATTATACTGTACTGTACATAAACCAACAGCTCCTTACAGGAAAGACTTAACTGTGTTTCATATACAGATTGCATGGGAACATAAGATTTCTTGTATACAATTTTCTTGGCCACAGGCATTCTAGGATGCCTTCCTGAAAGTAGAAGCTGAAAATGGGAATGAAAAGAGTTGGAGGGGTCATCGACGATAAACTAAGCTTTCCTTTGAACTGTAGTATAACATGTCTCTTTAAGCTGTTCTGTGGTCAACCAATTATTTTACTAGTAATATTGACAGTTCTGGTTAATTTTCCTTTTCTTTCAATACTTAGACTATCATACCACACTGTGATACCAAAAGTAGGGATGCTTTTTACCAATATTCTATAAACCTTTAAAATGTTTGGACTCATTCCAAAACGTTTCAGGTTCCTAATAAAAAATGTACACTGCTAGCCTTCTTCTGCAAATTTTAAATGTTCATCTTTTACTGTTCCTACGGATTTCAAACACTGAAAAATCTCCACAGACCGACTAATACTGGACTAATGAGGTTAAAAATTTGACATACAGCAAGTTGCCCGTTCTTGTGATAGTAATAGACATTGATCAATATTAATATGAAGCCTACTGACATTACCCTTCCAAATGTATTTATCTGTTCAAAGCAGTTCTCCACCCCTTCTCTATCATCCCCAGTAAACAATGCTACTAGGGCCATATCATGTGCATAATTCCCTGTATTTTCATTTCATTCATATAAATGGAAAATAGAAAAAGTGAAGAAATACACTAAAGTAAATTGTGAACATCCGTTTAATTTAAAGTTCCTTGAATGTTTGAGAATTATATTCTTCCTTAATTGTCCCTGTGTTCTTAATTTTATTAAAATAAAAATCCACAGTATGAAAATGAATGATTACAGAAAGTGTACATTTCACTGTTTACTTACAAATCTTCCCTTTATTCATATTGTATTTAAAAAAAATATCAACAGACTTCTTAAACTGCAACTACCTGGTCTAATCCTTGCTAATAAAAACATTTATCTTATTCCTATTAATATTTGGATTTCAGATAAACCAGAAGCATTTTCCTGCATGTCATATAACATTCTCTTAAACGTCTAAAATTATTTCCAGAAAAAAAATATAACATGTTTTTCATTAAAATATCCTGCAATTATACATTTCTTATTTCAGTAACTGTGTGTTACACTACTGTGTAGTAGTGTTATGGTCACAACACGTCCACCCAGGCGCTGTAATGCAAAAGGTTGCCAAAATACACACATTAAAAGCTATCTTCCATGAAAATGAAATTTTCTTTAGTTTAATTTTCTTTAGATATTTATTGATTTATGATGATTGTCACATCATCACATTACACAAGAAAAGCATCTCTGGTGAACTAAATAAAAGGGTGAAGACATATCACTTCGTGGAATTTATTAGTTGAAGTTTGGGTAGGTTAACAAAGACATGTCAATCACACACAAATGTACATAGAAATTATCTATCTATATATATCGAACACAAACATCTACTTTAGTATTCGTCTCAAGCATCTTTCCTTCCCCCATCCCCATCTTACAACTAGCCCTTGGTCCACCCTGAGTGGGGTTTGATCCTCTTGTCCTAATTCCAGGAGGCTGCCCATTAACCAATTAAGCCAAGCCTATCTCACCAAGTATTCCAAACACGTTCAAAGCTTTCACTTCTTTGATGTTGTTGTCCCTAGTGAAATATGTTGCTTATTTTTTTTAATTCTCAAAAATGTCCAGCAGGGGGAATCATCGAAGACAACACAAGAAAACAGAACTTATTAACATGTTTCTCTTGAGTCATAACTTAATACGTTGGAACTGCCCTTCTAGTCAGAGCCCTCTGATCTTCTCTCTTCAGCACTGAGGAGTCAAGATGTTCAGACTTTTTATTTGGGTCACAGCGATGCTGAACTGGTTGACAGGTAGGTACAATTCACATGCACACTAAATACCCTGTTTCATGAAGAAGACAATGTCTTTTAGTTCTATAACTTTTATTTGATTCCATTTTGCTGACTCCTCATTCTCTTCCTACAGCTTCTTCCAAGGTTCTCAATGTCCTGCAGTCTCCTTCTGAGCTGTTTAAGAAGCCTGAGGAATCTGCTGAATTCAGCTGTAGTCATGATGACACTAACTACGACAAAATGTACTGGTACCGGAAAGAGAATGGAGAAGGAACCCTTACACTCATAGGATATCTCAGCTTTAAGCAAGTATTCCCTGAACCTGAATTCAGTGGAAAGTTCAATATAACTGGAGATGCAGAAAAGGAAAGTTTTTTGCAGACCTCTGCAGTAACACCTGCAGACAACGCTGTGTATTTCTGTGCAGTCAGTAAACACAGTGCTACAGATCACCTCTATTCTCTGACAAAAACCCTTGGGTCTCACCGGCATGAACAGCAGAACACATTCTCACCACACCTGCCTCACATGAGTTTAATTGTGACTGTACATAAGTAAGATTTTTAAATAATTTTACAGACATTCCACAATTCAAACAATCAAAAAATGCTGCAAAAGAACTGCATGTTAAACCTGACTAGAAATGCACCAGTAGTGTGCAATATGTACTGTATATATGTATATATTGGTACAGTATACTGTTCATCATTTCAGAATGTTAAGGAAGCTGTATGGTACGCATTCGTCTCTTGTGGCTCTTGATTTGATCCCCATGCCAACGCTATGATGTCACTTCCTGCCATCCCTCCCACTCAGAGCCCTCAGTCCAGGTCAGGGCTGCTGTGCTGCTCTTCTCTCTCCAGCACTGAAGAGTCAAGATGCTCAGGGTTTTCATTGGGGTCACTGTCTTACTTCACTGGCTCACAGGTAAGAACCACTCAGTCATACTGAAAAAGTTATACAGTACAATCAGCCTCTGAATCTCAGTGGCAGAGGAACTCATGACACAGCTTCACATCAACAGCATTTTTTTAACTGCACATTTCTCTCTTTCCACAGATCCATCTTACTGTGCCCGTGTGCAACAGTCCCCCCATGATCTCCTGCGTAACCCCAACCAATTGAAAACTGACCTCCAGTGTGACAATGGAGATGACAGCTACCCTTATATGTTCTGGTACCAGCAGCCACAGGGGCAAGGAGCTTTGAAACTGATTGGGAAGCTCCACTACGAAAATGCAGAACTTGAAAAGGCTTTTGAAACACGGTTTAACATAACAGGTCATTCCAAAAAAAAGGCCTATTTGCACATCTCTGCACTAACAGCCTCAGACAACGGCAAGTACTTCTGCGCAGTCAGTAAACACAGTGCTGCAGATCTCCACATTCCTTTACAAAAAGCCCTTCTGAGCCACAGCCTTGCCAGTGTGTACAGTGTGATCACATCTCTGCCCACCTGCACCTCAGAGCACAGGGAAGAGTTCACTGTGAGAATTGCTTAGAGGAAATATTTAATTTATAATGCAAAGTACTATACATTGTGTTTTTATGTTTTTGGAAAGTGCTGACATTTGACATTATGAATATGCTTTAACAATAACATCCTTTAATAAAGACACAATATCATGACACAATTAGGGTCAAATACAGAAGTCTTTTACATCATAATTTATGCTGCTTGTGTATAATGCTAACAGGTTTCAGATACAGTGGTGCAAAAAACTCAAAAAGATTTTTACATAAGGAACTTTTATTCACCTTTTCAGCTGTTATAGTCTGACTCATCCAATCGCAAGTATTAATAATATGATCTGTTTCTTCAGGGCACTCAACATTAGCAGTTTAGTTAAAATGATAACCAGCACAAATGTGTAGAATTTCTATTAGAATCTCAAGGTTTTAGGATGGTCAGATTTTTCAGAACAACAACAATGTTAGCATACATGCTTTATATAGACAATTGTTCAATGAAATATTATTATACACATTTTTTTCTTACACATTAACTTATATGGACAGTATCTTCACACGTTTTCCTGTGTTACAATAAATATCAATGGGCAAAAAGAAAATGCTGACACAACCAACGATCACTCAATCTTTCAAAGAGAACTAAAAAAAATGCATAAAGGTAAATCTGATGATATCTGGAAAGAGGCAAGGCAGCAATACAATTTGAGCTATTTTTACAAAATAAGAGATCAAGTGTTTAGCTAAATAAACTGAAATCAGTGTAAATAAGTAATAATGCCCTTGGATGTAACTGACAACTAGAAGAGGTGCATAAAAATTTTTCACAGCCCCATTTCTTCACAATACACAAATAATGAGTAAAGTAGACATCACCTCCATGCACAGTGTCCTGCAATGTGCTCTGGCCCAAAACATTTTATCTTGCCAGAATCAATTACAAAAGATTGTCTAATTTACTAAAGCTACAGAAATACCCACTAATTGATTAACTGATAGCATAATGTTTGACCATGAGGTTTTTAAAAATGCAGATTTATTTGGGGTTTTACATTTTTTTAAAATCATACTGTTAGTGTGGGGGGTGTTTACCCAAATATTTTAACCAGTTTTCACATATAAAAATTAAAAAGAGGTCTGCAGGGGGCGGTATGATATAAAAGATGAAGTAAAAGACAGGTGTTCCAACATCTGCGTCCACAATCCTTTGTGGTTTGCCTTTATCATTATTATTTTCCACTGTGATGTCATTTCCTGTCCCTCAGAGCCCTCAGTCCAGGTCAGGGCTGCTGTGCTGCTCTTCTCTCTCCAGCACGGAAGAGTCAAGGTGCTCAGAGTTGTCATTGGGGTCACTGTCTTACTGCACTGGCTCACTGGTAAAGCCATTTCAATTACAATGCCTGCTGGTTAAACTGTTTTTAAGGCAAAAATAATATATAGACAAAATATGCACCTTTTCTGTTAATTGCTATAAAAAATCATTTGACTTTAGTGTGTATTTTCTTTCCTTTCTCTCTACATAAACATGTCTCTTTTGTCTCTCTACACAGGCCTCTCCAACAGCATCACAGTTCTCCAGGCTCCTCTTGCACTTCTCAGAAGACCTGGAGAATCGATTGAGCTCAGTTGCAGTCATGATGATAGAAGCTATGACACAATGTACTGGTATCAACAAGAGAACACAGGAAAGCCCATTACACTTATTGGATATCTTTATTACAAGCAAATAACCATTGAGAGTGGATTTGCTGAAAAGTTCAATATTACTGGAGATGCTAAGAAGAAGGGTTTGTTCCAGTCCTCTGCAGTAACAACTGCAGACAGTGCTGTATATTTCTGTGCCGTCAGTAAACACAATGCATCAGATCATGTCTTTTCTCTACAAAAACCCTTCTGAACAAAAACCTCACTGATGCCTGAGCACATCACCTGTTCATCTGTTCCAGAGCAGTTTACTGCACATCTCTAAGACAGATCAATAGCATTCAGATCCTAAGTAAATATTATCTTTTTGTATTCCAAAATCATTTTAAAATACCCAAAGAGCCCAGTTGGTGACATGCTGTGGAGTACAGCATGGTTAGTTAACTGTAGTCTTCAAGTTCCATATCTGTCTATATTAGATCTAATTATTGAATTCAGCTAAATAAGTAGATAAGTCACATTAGTATAAATTATACTAGAGTCAAAAAGTGCCTCTAAAGCATCCAGGAACATAGCACTAGCTCATGATTTCCTGACTTTTTTGCCAGTGCTGTGCTGTCATTTATTGACTTACAGCCCAGGTGTTTAATCAGAATAGAAGGCAGGTGTTTCAATAGCTGCACCCACAATCCTTTGTGGTTTGTTGTTACCGTCACTTTACTCCACTATGATGTCATTTCCTATCCCCCCCCACTCAAAGCCTTCAGTTCAGGTCAGGGCTGCTGTCCTGCTCTTCTCTCTCCAGCTATGGTGAGGAGTCAAGATGCTCAGAGTTTTCACTGGTGTCACTGTGTTACTGCACTGGCTCACAGGTAAGGACTTCTGAATTGTTTTGAGGTCAGAAAACATTTAAAAAATACTGAAATGCTGGACAACCTGGAGAGAGAAGGCACAATAATTAAGGAATGCTAAAATGTACATTTGAAGTGTGTGTTTTACTTCAATCTGTCTTTTTTAAAGTGTCTTTCTTATTTTGTACGCAGGTTCCTCAGCCAGTGTAAGTGTTGCACAATCCCCTCTGTTCCTGGCAAAGCATCCTGGAGAATCTGATACACTCAAGTGCAATGGCCAAAGTAGTTATTTTTACATGTATTGGTACCAACAATTGGGGGATGGAGCCCTGAAGCTGATTGGATATCTTTACACAACAACTGCAAATCCTGAAAGAGAATTTGAAGACCGTTTCAAAATAAGTGGAGATGCAACAAAAGAGGGTTTCTTACAGATCTCTGACATAACAGCTGCAGACAACGCTGTTTATTTCTGTGCCATCAGTAAACACAGTGTAGTATAAACTCCTAACCCCTTTACAAAAACCATGCTGCACCAGAGCCTCATCAGTGTGCAGCAGAGCACATCACATTTCCTCTCTCCCAGTTTAGGAAACTAACTAGAAAGGTAACAGCTGGGGGCTGTATGTGTTTATACTGTATCTGGATGTAATATACGGAACATCACAATGTTAAGGAAGCTGTATTGTACCCATGTGTTCCACTCTGGCTCATGATTTGCTCATTATATTGTAAAATAACTCCTGCATTGGCATCATTTCACTGTATTCGAGTATAAATTCAGTCATTTAAGTCTTTTGACAGATAGGCTCCAGATCTCTGCAGAGAGTGTAGGCCCAGACACACTTGTGTCTCTTTACTGGCCATCTCTGCATTTCAAGTACAAAACGGAAAAGAAAGAAGGCTCCTTCTGTTGTAGAGTTCCCAGACCTCAGTGTTATTTACATTTTCTTTTTTTTCCTTGTGTTTTGAAATTACTTGGTATGAAAGGGTTTATATAAATAAATCATGAATTATTTTGCAAAAACAGATGGGATGTACTGATCCCTACAAAACTGATTTGCTTATAGAGATTCATTGTGGTCATACAATTTAATGATACAGGGAAGCAAGGGACCAAGTGTATGCTTGATAAATGAAATTACATATACTGTAGATAAACACAAGTATAACAATAAGTAATGAGTAATGAGGAAGAACACTATATAATGGTGTCTTGTGCATTCATTTTTTATGACCACTGTGACCATTTTTTAACTCCACTTCCTTTCTCCAGTAGGTTGATGTCACTTCCTGTCTCCCCTCCCACTCAGAGCCCTCAGTCCAGGTCAGGGCTGCTGTGCTGCTCTTCTCTCTCCAGCACTGAAGAGTCAAGAGGCTCAGAGTTTTCATTGGGTTCACTGTCTTATTTTTCTTGTCATTTCTTACCTTCACAGATCGCTTGGACTGTGTTACTGGTCAACAGATCCCTCCTAGGCTCTGCAAGAAAATTGGGGATGAAGCTCAGCTCAGCTGCATCAACAGTCAAAACCATTACAAGTACTGGTACCAGCAGAAAAGAGATGGAGCTCTGATACTGATTGGATATCTTTT